ACCTCTGTTGTCTTGTTAGGCAACAGAAAAGTAGTGGAATTGTTAGCAAAGGTTTTGCTAAATGAAGGACATAAAAGGAACGAGAGAGATAGCAAACCATTTGGCTAAGCTGAGAACACAGCGCGTATACTGGAGAGAAGAAAAACATCCATAGCTACCTCACTATAGCACTAGACAATTTATTTCAATCTAGTCAATGCCACCATTGAAAAGAAAATTATGCCATAAACCGCTCTATAAGCACATCTGATGCCACAAACAGTGCCCAAGCTTTGGCAGGGTGGGTGGTGGGACTGCTCCAGACTTTAAGCAGAGGAAATCTCAGAATCTAGTTTAACACTTTCAATAATTATCAAAACAAAAATAATCTGTAAGTTATGGAAAAGTGAATGTGCATTTGTTTTGATATTATTTTAAGCATTTTCTCTATTAGAAGAAATACCGAAGTAACTATACTCCTGTAAAGTGTTCATAATGTCTTGCTCCCTGAAAAATGAGTACAAAACCAAGTTACACATATATCCAAGATGATTCCAAAAGCCACTCTATAGGCAGTGCAGGCAAGTAGGTATGTTTCCTAAATTTCTGCATTTCCTAGCTAAAATAAAACAAAATTATGTAAGTTAAAATGCTAAAATTTGGGAATAACAAAGGCAATGCAGGGAGGGTATTTCTATTGCAGAGTTTTCTGAGAGAAGACTCCTTTCTCTGTATTGGTGTTATCTCCCAGACAATATTAATGCAGCTACACTGCATAGGAAGTCCTTAGAGCAGAAGGAATATCTAAAATGACCAAACTTCAAGCATGAAGCAAGGAAGACATGCCAAAACAGAGTCAATGAAGGTAAAAGTGATTATTTAATACATAAGATATCTTTGAAAGTTCATTCCTTGTTGCATCTGTTTACTGTGTCATGCTAAGTTGTTTAAATGCACCACATTTTTTAATCAATTAAGTTTCTTGGGTGTGTGATTGCATGATTTCCATTAAGTTTGTCTGCAAAGGTTACCATCTGTTAACATATTGTCTCAGAATGTAAGTTATTTTTTCATATGTATACAATACACTTGTCAAAAGTATGGCATAGGTGGGTTCATATCTCATTGGACAACAGAACCCATAACAAATAACATGGGAAATTTTGGAGGGTTAGTTTCAGAGTTCGTTGGAAGTCTTTCATAAGCCTTAGCGAGCTCTAATTATGCTCTAGGCAGTTACCAAGGTTATCAGTTTTCCTTTACCAAGTACTTGCTGAGAAAGAAAAACAAATTTGCTGATGGAAAGAAGTTTTATCCTGAAGCCTGATATGGGCAGATGAAGGTAATTTCCCAGGGAGAAGTGAAAAGACACCGAGCTCCTCAGTAATATCATAATAATGTAAGAAGAAAAAACCTGATCTGGTCCACTTCTTGTTTTCAGTCATTCCAGGTCATTTTCATGAACAATTGTTTACTTGTTTCCAATTCTATTAATGACAGTAACCCAAAAGGGGAAGAGAAATATTTATGGCAATATCTTTATCTTGATAGTGTTCTGCATTTGAGCAGACGTATCTGTCTCATAAAAAGCATGGGACAAGAAGCCTTATCTGAGAAGACAACTAAGCTGATGGTTAAATCATGGACTTCATTTGACATCAGGTCAACATGTATTTGAGAGTGAGAAAACAAGTGTTTGTAGAAGTGGTATTGGAAAAGATTTGACTAAACTCCACAATGGCTACTATTCCCAGCTCAGGCCTGTTTTTTTCTAAGGCTTCCCCAAAGTTTGTGTTTCCCTAGTCAGTATCTACACTCATTGATTTTGAATACTTTCCCTAAACCTATGTTTATTTTTGCAAGGTAGTTTTTCTGTCTTCTCCTGTCTCCACACCGTGGCAGAAAAAGTGCTGTCTTCATTTAAAATGTAAATAAAATTTTAGGTTAACTTCAAACAATGTAGTATAAGGACATCAAGGCTAATTTGGATTTATTACCATATACTCAGCTTATATATAACATCTACTCAGTTTATATACTCGGCTTGAGTATGTTACAATACACTCAGTATATGTTACTGGAGTTCACTTTTCAAATTTATATGCTTGAAATATGGATATTTATGCCTGAAGAACATGGATGGAAAACACACCTGCCATGGACTTCTCTAAAGAATATGAGAGTAGGGTTGACACTGATTTTAGAAAAGTTCTGGTATGGGTTTGAACATGATCTTTTACCTTTTGCCCTCCTCTAATGACTATAATCACTCAAGCCTAGAGTAAATAAAATATATTAATTTGAAAAAAACTATACAAATAATGCATTATTGAATAACAATTGCAGTTTGAGTCAATATCTAGTGGATCTAGTGTTGAAATAACTCTAAATCTTTTGAGCATATTTAGAACTTCTACATCATTCATGAAAGCAGCACCTAAAAACAAAAATCTGACTGTGCAAATAACAAGCAGGTGCATGGATTTTACAGATGTGGAACATTATTACCACCTAGTCCAACTTCTTACTCAAGATGGACCATAAAATCAGCAAAACAGACAACACATAGGTAAAAACATCCACATTTTTGTTTTCCAATTTTCCAAAATGATGACATTCCCAGTAGAAAAGGAATGGCAACATTATTGCATGACTTCACTCACACACTGGGGACAGCAGAAAAGAAGTGGAACAGGAAGAAAAAAGGGGCTTATGGAGGGTTCATGCTGCCATTGAAAGAAATTAGCAGGGAAAATGATAAGGAGGAATCAGATGTATACTAACTGAAAATACTTGGTTACCTGTAATGGGTACATTCATGTTTTTACAGGTATTCCTGGCATTTTCAAAGTCCGACAACTAACACAAAGCAGCCTAGATTCAGTAGGGAACACTGCTTCACTACGGAAATGAAATGAATTCAGCACAGTAAAGACCCTTTGGTCAGATCCCAAGACTGATGAGAGTTTTGCATAAATAGCAAATGAGTGAAAACTAAGTAAAGAATTTGGTGCTTAGTTCAACAGCTGCACGACTGAATACATTTAAAACCAAAACCGATTTGGAAATGTGAACTGAATGAAGGAGATCCCATTAAACCTGTTAAGATAACCATAACCATCTCTATAATACAGTTTACAGAAGTCAGTGATTGAAAAAAACCAGCTGGTTGTTCAATAAGAGTGAAGCTTTCCAAATGCTCAACTCCAGTTCAAGACATGTAATAGTGTGTCATTTGTCACTGATCCTCACCACATCCAATACAGAAACAGCCATTACATTTCATGCTTTCCTTATAGCTGCCAATATTTCAGGCCCCAAGACGACAGCAGAAATGCACTTCTACAGAGCACGGTTTCTACAGTCATACATGTTCAATTAAATGTGGAATTTGTCTTGCAGCTAAGAGAAGCTGTTCAGCCTATTCAGCTACCTTTAGACTTCATACACTTTCCTCTGTTTAATCTTCTGAAATAGCAAACACAAGTGCAAACCTCCTAATAATAGCAGCCCATTTCCCTTTGCCAAAGGGTACACATCACTTTCACTCATTTTGGTCTCATCTCTGGTTTTACCGTTGTCTTGCCCAAGAGCAAAATCAGAACAGTAGTAGTCACTTTTTAAGCTTGAGGAACTTCATCACCTCACATTTTTATGGCCGGACTTATTATTAGTCTATAGACAGAAGGCACTTTCATACAGGAAGCAGAATCTTGGTTCTACTGAAGCCTAAAGAAAATTTGCTGTTGACTTCAGTACAGAATATTAACGGGAGACTGTAACAACGCATATGCTTGTAGAGCGAATAGCATGCTTTACATGCTTTTAAAAGAAGAAATACTATAAGTGGTGATGAGAAAGTAAATAGTGATTCATATTCTGTATTAAACTCTCTTCCTCTTTCATGGAAGTTAACAACATCATTAACTGCTGCATAGATATTCTATTTTGGGAATACCTCAACAGCTATCTGAACTCATCGTAGCCTTTCTTTTCTTTTTTTTTGAAAGTGCAGGGAGAGAGGTCATTTGTGGTTCTATTTTTCAAAATAGTTTATTTCCAAATAGGCTTATTTATGTAAAGAAAGAAACTGTGAGGATGCCTGTCTGTTCTAAAGATATTAAGTCTTTAATAAGCTCTGAAGTGCTAGGTTTAGGGTTTATTTTATGCTTAAGTGCATGGCAACCTCCGTCTCAGTGAGCTTCCCAGACCAAATTTTCAAAACTGAGGAGCTGAAATACTACTGGTAAGTGCTATAATTTTTAATGTCTATCCAGATTTAAACTATCCTCAATGTTTAGAAACACACACCACTGTGCTACCTAGCGTTACATTTTAAATGCCAAGTGCTGAAGAAAGAAAGAATTTTTAAGGTGCTTATATAGGAAAAACAAAAGGTCCCTAGGAAATATTGAAAAAAAAATTATTCAGTTAATTTTATCTTTCCTCAGTTAATTTCTACATCATAGGTTTTGGCAGATTGAAGGGGAAAAAGAAGCAGCAAGGTGATCCATATTTAAACTGCAAATTGGCAATTTCCCTCCCCTTTTAGGTGCTCTTTTGTCGGATTATATAGAACCTCTCCAGTTGTGCTGGTTGCTGACTTTTTAAACACTTTCCATTGTAGGCTTGGTCCCATGATGCATGTGGCCGTGGACAGTGAAATAAACCCATACACCCAGTGAAAGCAGCCAAAGGTTAGTAGTAGAAGGAAATGATTTCTTTCTAGTAATTTTAAACAGTTCTACAGCCTCTGTCATAATTCTGTGTTCCAGAAAGATTAAAATTTTGCATAAAACGGGCTGTGGAAGAAGGGAGTAACGGGCAGCCAAGAGACAAGAGAGAAATTAGATATAATTTGTCACATAGACATAATAATATCACTTCTCTGTATTTGTGGCAGCATTTCAATAACCTAACAAAAGCAGTAAATAACATAGCTGGGTTCTCAATTGCTATGGGCTTTCTGAAGCATTATATGCCCGTATTGCTGGGAAAGAATTAGATACACAAGACGAAAGATGGTTGAGGGACAGGCCCGTACTTTGAAGGGAAGATTTTGGTCTACAGTCATATTTATGTTCAAATTGGGTGAGTTTAACTCTGCTTGAAAAGAATTTTGGAAAAAAAACTTTTTCCCTTTTGGAAAGAAGCTGAATCTTTTTCAGTATTCAGAGGATTCCCTTGCCCTTCTCCCTTCTTAATAAGTCAAGCCTTTGTACCCAAAGAGTCCTGAAGATCTAAGTGTTCCTTATTTTGCCCAGGCATTTAGGGTGACAAGGAAACATAGCAGAGTACATACTCCCTAACAATGCTCTCTGATGGAACATACATACTTATATATGTTTCATATATACGCATACACACACACAGAAATACAGTGTATATATGTAGTGTGTATATATATGTATACTATTTCCAGTCAGTGAGCTAGGGACTGAAAGTCACGTCCCATCAGTTTAGAGATCCTACAATTTTTGCTTCAATTACTACTCCTTCTTTGTGCATTGATTGACCCCTTTGTCTAAATTTTCCATCTTAAGATTCTGTCACTGAGTCTTTGGCTTCACACAGTATCTCAAAGATAATTCCACAGTCTGCCCTGCTAGAAAGAAGTAATCTGTTTGCAAGCAGGTTTTTAAGATTCTTGTCCACAGCCTAACTAGGTCACAGATATGTGCTTTTATCTATCTTTAGAAGAAGGTTTATCCAGCACAGGGCTTCCTGAAAAAGACACATGAGTGTCTTTAGTACTCCAACCACCTTCATGCTCTCTACCCAGCATTTCCAAGAACGGTGTTATAAATAGCATCAACATGTCACAGGTGACAGAGGAAAAATATGTCTAGTTTTCCAACTTAACTTCTGTCTGGTTGCATAGATGCAGGTACACAAACACACACACATATTCAGATAAGTGTGTCCCTCAGGAGGACTACAAGGATGTTGTGAGGTTATGCAGGGAGAAAATTAGAAGGGACAAAGCCTGGTTAGAAATTAATCTGGCTACTGCCACAAAAGGCAATAAAAAATGTTTCTATCAATGCATTAGCAACAAAAACAGGGCTAAGGAGAATCTCCATCCTTTATAGGATGCGGGGGGGAATATTGTCACCAAGGATGAGGAAACGCTGAGGTATTTAATGCCTTCTTTGCCTCAGTCTTTAATAGTGAGACCAGTTGTTCTCGGGCTACCCAGCCCCAGCTGGAAGTCAGAGACAAGGAGCAGAATGAAGCCCACATAATCCAAGGGGAAATGGTTAGCAACCTGCTACACCACTTAGAGATGCACAAGTCTATGGGGCCAGGTGTAGTGAGGGAGCTAGTGGAAGTGCTCATTAAGCCCCTTTCTATCATTTATCAGCAGTCCTGGCTAACCAGGGAGGTCCCAGTTGACTGGAGGTTAGCAAATGTGATGCCCATCTACAAATAGGGCAAGAAGGAGGATCTGGGGAACTACAAGCCTGTCAGTCTGACCTTGGTGCCAGGGAAGGTTATGGAGCAGATCATCTCAGATCACGTCGGCCAGGGGAGGTTTTTAACGGATATTAAGAAAAATGTCTTCACCTAAAGGGTTATCAAGCATTGTAACAGATTGCCCAGGGAAGTGGTTGAGTCCTGGAGGTATTTAAAAGACATGTAGACGTGGCGCTTAGGGACATGATTTAGTGGTGAACTTGACAGTGTGAGGTTTACGGTTGGACTCCATGACCTTAAAGGTCTTTTCCAGCCTAAATTATTCTATGACTCTAGAAAGCCAAGGCAAAAGGTAGCAGCCTTATTTAGGATGAACCAAAATTTGTAACCAATATTTTAGATGAACCCCAAATTCAGGAGAAGCTCCCTATATGATAAGTGGAATGTAAAATTTTGCCAGAAGAAAATTATTATTCTTCTTTGTCATGTTGTACCACTAGAAAGCCTCAGAGCATTCTTAAGTGTCAATTACTCTGAACACCTGGGGGGGTGTTGATATTAATTCTATATTTAGTTTTATAGTGGAGATTTTACCCACTTATCTAGAAACAAAAAAATCCTAGATTAAGTCTACAAAACTGAATGTAGTTTGGAGAATCATCAAAGGTCTTTCCCCCCCAAATCTGCCAGGTAAATATCTCTGGGATTAAAACAAAGAAAATAAATTAATCTCCACCTTCTTATTACAATACAAAGTAAGAGAAGCCAGGAAACATGGCGCAAAACCTGATGGTACACAGTGTCCTTAGATCACTTGGCCATTGTTTTCTCTCACAGCAGCACATGTTAATGATACAAAAAAGCTTAACGTTTTTTGGCTTTGGCTTTTCATGTCACAACCGTTATAAATGTGCACATTATTGTTTGTATTGCCATATCCTTCAGATGCACCGCCAATTTCTAGAGCCTGTGCATGCACAGCCAGGGACAGGATTTTGCCCACATGTAGCCTGGATGAATTAAATTAAGAAGAAACATTGCCATACAGATTCAGCTGCCAAGTAGTGTGTCACGGTACAGCATGTTTATGTTGCAAAGATGTTGTATGGGTCAAACTTGATTTAAACCACCAATTCTACCACAGGAAGACCAAAGCTTCTTTGTTCTTCACTAACCGATTTAATTCTGTTTTAAAAGGTCTTTTTCTTGTATGGGCCTAAGACAATCTTAGTTGCATTTAGTTAAAAATACCTCAGCCACCTCCAAAACAATGAAATAGTCAATAAAACGTTAAACCCAGAAACAGAAAGAAATAGAGATTTGGTTTTTCGCTTATTTTAAGGAATTTGGGCAACACAGAAAAAATCAAATATGAAGAACGAAGAAACAAGTTTTAATGTGGACAATACCCGAGCCTCTCCCTTCTCCCACTGCCTGCAGCCGCTGAGCCCTGTTACAAAGCCACACAGAACAATTCCATTTGGTGAAGAATTCAGACCGCACCTCTCACATTTCCGCTATGGCTCTCCTCCTCTTGGAGACATGGAAACATTTCAGGTGTCCTTGGAAGGAGGGTCTCGGAAACGCAAAAGCATGCCAACAAAAATGCCTCCTATTGCCCTCGAGGGTTCCTCATCACCACCAGACAGACCTGAAGATCACAATGACTTAGGCTCTTCCAGTCTCCCCTTGGTGTTCCAACAGCCAGCACAGGCCAAGTACAGTTCCCAGATGATCGACCTCTGCAACTTAGGTTTTCAGTTCTACAGAACTCTGGAGCACTTTGGAGCCAAGCCGATTAAGCAAGAACCAGTGAAGCCTAACATGACATGGCCTAGTAGCCCAGCGTTCATGCAGGCTCCTTACCCGTATTATCCTAAAGTCCACCCTGGCTTAATGTTTCCTTTTATTGTGCCACCAAACTTTCATTTCAGGAACCCCTTTCAAATGAAAAGACCTCCAGAGCCACCTTTCCGGAGGGCCGAAGTAAGGGAAAGTGGTGAAAATAAACAGAAAGTGGAAAGAGTAGATGTCAACCTCCAGATAGATGACAGTTACTATGTTGATGTGGGGGGTGAACAGAAACGCTGGCAATGTCCCATGTGTGAGAAGTCCTATACATCCAAGTACAATTTGGTGACCCATATCCTGGGGCACAGTGGCATTAAGCCACATGCTTGCACCCGATGTGGCAAGCTTTTCAAGCAGCTGAGCCACTTGCACACGCATATGTTGACACACCAGGGCACTCGGCCTCATAAGTGCCAAGTGTGCCACAAGGCTTTCACTCAAACCAGCCACCTTAAGAGACATATGATGCAACACAGTGACATCAAGCCTTACAACTGCAGGATCTGTGGCAGAGGTTTTGCCTACCCCAGCGAGCTGAAAGCACATGAGTCTAAGCACGAGAGTGGCCGAGAGAACATTTGTGTGGAATGTGGTCTGGACTTCCCAACCCTGGCCCAGCTGAAGAGACACTTAACAACCCACCGTGGCCCTATACAGTACAATTGCACTGAATGCGATAAGACCTTCCAGTACCCAAGTCAGCTGCAAAACCACATGATGAAGCACAAAGACATCCGCCCATACATCTGCACTGAATGCGGCATGGAGTTTGTGCAGCCCCACCATCTCAAACAGCACTCCCTGACTCACAAGGTAAGCCGGCACGGGTTGCGCCCGCGCCTTGCACCGCAAGCTAGCGCAAGGATTACGGGCCACTAAAGATACCTATACGTACCTCCTTGGAAAGAAGGTCATCAGTCTATAGCAAGTCTATAGCTGGCAAACCCTCTGCCAGCCGGGGAGTTTTACGCAGGGCAAAAGCCCCAGCAGCACTGGCAACAGCAGAAGCTCGACGTCTCTGTCAGTCTTAAGAAAGCACACACAAAATCCGCTGTGTTATAAACACGAGTTCAGTTAAGCCACCTGTTTTACTTCCCGAAACCGTATTCACATCCCTTGGTTTCTGGGTTTTATCCTCAGAATGACCTTCTGTATCATAACATGACTTTGTAGAGCTGTATATATAGCCCCCAAATTTTAACAGAAATTTTCTACTGAAAACCGGTTCTATTGCTTTGCTCCCTTAATTGGTAAGTAGGCAGATTTGCAGTAGACTGTACGTACGTAGCAAAAGAAAGTATATTGTTACTCGTCACATACTGAAGAATCATTATAATGAGACACTTAGGAAAAAAAAAGAAAATAAAAATTCCCCTTCATGCATAACTTATGCAGAATACCAGTTAATAAAAGTGGACAAGCAGGACTGTAATCCCAGCCCATTCGTATCAAGTGGCAGTCTTGCCACTGCTGACAGCAATGACAGCAGAGTGGGTTTAGGCTTGGAGCGGGCTTTGGAACACACCCGGAAAGGTCACTTTCAAAAATAGGAAAAATGTCACTGTTCCATTCAAGAATGTCTGGAACTAGCTTACCCACATTTACAAAAATGTTGTTAAGACAAGTCAAAACCCCACACTTTTGATAAAAATTTGCTTCCAGCTTTGTGTATTTTTCCTTTAACACTTCAATTTTGGCTTTTATATGAAAAAAATTAAAAATACTGAAAGCTACAGCATTTCAGTCTTATAGACATATTTTCTTTTAAAAACCAACAACCTCTACTTCCACATTTGCTATTTCTTCCCTACTACATGATTGTAATTTCTGGTCTTTTGGAGATTCCCTAATCTTTGAATTTGCCATGCAAAATTCTACTAATTTAAGACTTGGTAGTTTTTTGTCACAGGAAATGCAATGCCCCTGAGCCTTTAGAGAGCTTCTGCTTCTTTGTCCACAGCTGCAGGTGGATTCAGCTGTGAACATAATTAACAGTACTTAGCTGACCAAATGCAGCCTCACATCAGATGGGCAGACCCTTAAAGGCCCTGTTGGTGTTCACAGTTTTAGCTTTGCAATTAACTGTGAAAACCACTGACTGGCATGAAACTAGAGATGTTTCAAACCTTCTTTGTAATGGGGGCCTGCAGGAGGACTAATCGCTCTTGGCACTGCACTAGTAAATCCTCATTACCTTCAGCAACTTCTACTCAAACTCTTAAAGTGTTAGTGGTAAATGCATTGGTTTTCATAGCATCTAAGTGACATTTTGAGAAGTTGGCTGTTACACCACACGGATGTGAGCAAGAGTATTGAATTATGCATTAGTAAATTGATTGGATAGCATAAAAAGTTCTAGAGATGCTCTGTAAAACCAGATCAAATGAGATCACCCCGGTAGGGTTAATGCAAGTCCCACTAGGAGGGAACAATTTTTTCTCTTCATTGAATGTAATATGTATATCTTTATTCAGTAACATGGCTTGACTACTTCTCAGTTACTTTAGATTATTTTCTATAGCTTTCTTCAAAATAAGGCTATGCCTTTTTTAGAAGCCAGTGACTTTAAATTATCAAAGGCAAGTACTACTTTAGCCTCTGAACTGGTGAGCTTTTATTCTTGGTCAGTAAGTGTACACTTTTGACCAATATTTTATATAAGCAGCTAAGTAGGACCGAGAAGCTCTGCTGGTGACTGATTCATTGATTTGTAAACTTTCTGATGGAAACAAAACTCATTATTTCCTTAAGCTTACACTTTGTCCTCCTTCTCTGCTTCTTAAATTCTTGTAAGAATTTGCAAAGAAAAAAACCATATAAGTATCTATTACTTGAGCAAACGATGTTAAAAGTGAAATAATTTATTACCTGCTTTGCTAATATAGAACGAATAATTCATATATTGCTGTACTGAAGATTAAACAATCGCGAACATTTTCCCTCTACAAAATTTTCCAATTTTTGCTTTTCTTCCAGGGTGTGAAAGAGCACAAATGTGGAATCTGTGGACGGGAATTCACTCTGCTGGCCAACATGAAGCGACATGTCCTGATCCACACAAATATCAGAGCCTATCAATGCCATTTGTGCTTCAAGAGCTTTGTGCAAAAGCAGACTCTCAAGGCCCACATGATTGTTCACTCTGATGTCAAACCCTTTAAATGCAAGGTAAGCGCATTTGGTGGCAGAGGCATTAACCTACTGGATAGATCATTATTACGATCTTATCATCTTGCAATATGGTAGAATTAGAAAAACAAGACTTGCTAAGACATACTGTAGTTGCATTTAAATTAGCACAAACCAGCCTAGCTTTGTTTCTTTGTCCAGGTTCTGCTTATGTAGCACAAAATAATGGAGGTAAATCTCTGTAATTTATTCCCTTCTTCAATATCAGTAACTTTCATCCTCAATTTTTTTTTTTTTTGAGCATTCAAAGGGTGGTTTGAGGACAATAAATATATCTGACATTTGCTTAGTACAGCCATCCAAACAGAAGTCTAAGTGCTTAATGGCTTGAAACACTGACTAAAACCATAGATCAAGTTGTGCACCCCAGAGAGGACCATGGAAAAGCAGCAGCCACAACTTCACACAGTGATGCTATGTGACAGTTCAGGGAAGGACTCAGAGAAAGCCACAGCAAAATACAACTGCAGAAGGGATTTCAATGGGCCAAGTGTAATTACCAACTGAAATTCATGGCAGGACAGCAGTGTCCTAACAAAACAGCCTCTGAGATCATACGGCCTTTTTAGGATACTATGTGAATTCCAGTTTGCTGCCTCCATCCAGCACATTGGAGGTTGACATTCCCCTTCCATCCTCTCCTCCCTCCCCATAAAACTTTGAGACTTTGGCTTTCTTGACATGCTCATCTCTAATATCTTCCTTATGAATTATTCATGTTTATTTTCTTACTGGGTCTTGGACACTACATCTGTTCCTTTTGCTGCCTATCTGGTTCATTACTGTAGTCACATATTGAGAAGTCAAAGGTTGTAGGTTTTATTACCACCTTGACCTGCTGTAAGAGGGCTATAAATACAGAGTGGAGCATATTACCCGGTTTATGCCTAAGTAACTGAAGATTGGCCTGGTAGCAATTTCTAGAACTCTTTCATCCAACATCTTTATGGGATTAAGTATTTTCTTAAAAGGAACATTTCACTGAGAAGCAGAGCTTGATGACAAATTTTAAATGGTATTATTTTCTCTTGAAAAATGTCAAACGTTAAAATGTAATAGGAAAATATGGCATTCACTTATATTTTTAATAGGAAAATGTCAAGATGAATATTTTTGACGTCCTTATATTGCTTTGATAACTTTGAAACATTTCACTTTGAAAATATAACAACAAAGTCTTTCAACTTCAGCATTTTGTTTCATTTTAATTTATATCCCATTAAAATATTATTTTTTTGTACTAGCACCTATGCTAGTCTATATTGATAAAATAATTTTTGTTACTCAAATGCTTGATGGAGACTTTCATTCTTTGAGAACACCTGCAAACCTGTCTTTTAGTTCCTATTTGGTCAAAGTCTGCTCTGACCCCTCAGATTTCACAAAAGAAACTCAATGGTTTGATCAGCTGTTCTGGATGCAGTATCTGGACCCCCCTTACATTTTAGGTATGTTCAGATTAGCGGGAAGTTTGTGTTCTGGTTAGGCTTTGGTGATGACAGACTATTAAAACTTGGAGATGGCAATAACTTGAACAGGGAACTGGGGTACCACCAGTATGTTTTCCAGCCAGTAGCACCTACTTTCCTTATTTTTTTACTTCTCTGTCCCCACACAATGTTCCTAGGAGGAAAGAAACAAGTAAGCACAGTGAACCAGTTTCTCCTACGGCTGAAGGGGTATGAACGAACATCAGTGCCCCTGAACAGAGCAGAGATTTTAACAATAAGCAAAGGGAGAATCAGGAATTGCTCTTTGGCATTAGAAACATCCCTTGCCTCTCTGGCAGAGCCCTTGAAAGGCTTGAGCAAGTATTTCTGGCTGGTATTCAGAGGGTTAAGGCAATGACCAGATAGCAGCCTTTTGGCACCAAGCTCCTCCTCAGCAGAAGGAAGGATATAGCTGTATGAACAGCCTGCTTAACAATGGCTCACATGTCCCCGGGGAACCGCCTGCAAATAGATTTCATCTTGCTTTCTCTTGTACTTTTCAAAGCTTCCTGTTTTCTCACGGTCCTTTTGGACAGTTTACAGTCTTTCTCCCTCTCCCTCTCTCTTTGAGGAAAGGAACACCCTTCTTATGAAGAAAAAAAAATTTTTTTGAAAGAGAGCACAGCAGTAGCCTTTCTACTTCACCACATGCAATGGTTTTCTTTACCTTTTTCTCACAGCAAAAGAAAACATGAGGCTTTCCTATGTGTCTAATCACAGATAAGCACAGACTATCTGAAGTGAGGGAGTAGCAAATAGTTGTCCCTTCTGTTTCCTCATCCAACTGCAGCCTGGATCTGTGTTTGATTTTTCTCTGAAGAGTGAATTTCTATGTACCGTTTAAAGGCCTGAGCCCGTGCTGCCTTGTTTATTCCTGTTTAAAAAAAAAACAAAACCCAACACTGAAGAGTGCTGAAGGAGTTGCACCAATTGGTGCAATAGTGCTAACTCTGATTTGTAGAAGAAGCTTCTATGAGATTTACAGTTGCTTTTAGGGCTGAAGTCAGCAATGTTTCAGATCTCCAATAAAGAATGCAGTGAAGTTTTCTCTGGCCCAGCCAAATACACTTTGCAACGTATGTTTTGACTCCACTTCTTTCCCATCTAAAATCATGGGTTTGGATCAGGAGTCAAAACCAAAGAAAATGTGAGAGGTAAGTACTTTGTGAAGAAACAAAACAGACTGACAAATCTAGAAGGGTGATACTTCATGTGGTGGCTTAGGAAGACAAAATCTAGTGTTGAACTAATTCAGCTTTTCTAGCAAACTGTACTGAAGTCCATTTCACCAGCCAGTGCAACAAAGTGTGTTCAGCAGAGTTACAGCTGAGGTCTTTCTCTTCAGGGCTTGAGTTTTATTTTGTCTAAAATAGACAGTCTAACAAAAGATCCACAAGTAAACAATGTTATTCCCGCTATCCCAAGATTTCTTGCATGAGCTTTGCATCTCCTAAGTGGTGCACCATCTCCCTGTGGTGCTCCACGGTGAGTTCTGCTGGAGCGCCTTCCCAGGCAGCTGGCTCAGGGTCATCTTTCACACTCTGCTCATCAGTGCTCACACCCCTGCCCTGTCACACAGAAATAAAATCTTGTACACCTTCCCAGGTTGGTCTTTAAGCAGAAGCTGCGAACGCCAGCTAGATCTGAGTTGCTACCTTCCAGCATGTGAGCCCCAAACCTGCTCCCTTCACCCTCTGGATCATGGACATTCACCTGAAAGTCATCTTGTGCCTTTTGAAAAGGATAGGTTACCCACAGAGCCATCGCTCCAAAAAAACAATTTTAATGTCTGCATTTCTTTCATTTTCCTGCCATACCTCTCCACTCTAGTACCATTTCCTCATGTCCAAAGAGGAGATTTCAGGAAAACACCACCTTACACATTCCTAAGACTGTGCATGTCTTTGGGAAATGGAAACCTATCCCCTTTATTCAGAGACACAAAACTTTTATGCTGGAAGGAATTATCCTTTACGAAGTCCCCTTCTTTTCATTATGAAGAAAGAGAAAGAAATGTTGCCTTGACTGAAACAAAATAAATGTTCCTACTAGACCCATTTTAATAGTCAATACCTTATAAAGATATAGATTTGCATGAAGTACTCTAGCCGTTCACCTGTTCAACCTGATTTTCCTTGATTATCAGATTAAACGGAGGAGTAAAGACCTAGTTATCAGAAAGCAAAAGCCGGTGAGAACACAGGTCAGCCATAATACAAGCAGGTAACCAGAAGCCTTCTGCCAAGAGTATTAGAGAGGTATTATTGTTGTCATTCTTATAGTCAAAGAAATAATGACATGTCATAGGTCGTTCCAGCAGCTGTCAAGATATAATCAGCTACTGTTCTTCCTTATGAATTTTCTGTGCTCAACAGTGCTTCTTCTCCTCTTTGTTTCCGCCCAGCACACTCCCAGAATCATTTTTTTGGTCCCTTAATTTCCCTGAATATAAGTCACCTGGCATATTAGCTTTCTTTGAATGCAAAGAAGAGTCTGTCCTCTTTCCTAAGCGGATGGATGACCCTTGGAATGAGATGTCTTCTACAAATTAGTAACTCATTTTCAGTGGCTATTCCCCCCCCGCCGTCTTGGTGAACACTTTGCTGATAAATTTATGTGCTGGAATGTTCATTTTAGCAAAATCACAGACACCGAATCACAGAAGAGAATTTATGCAGCTGAAGGAAATTTTTTTAAAAGCAAATTAATATTTCCAGACTCTTTGGTTTTGCAGCATTGACTTAGCTCTAGTTTTTATTTAAAAACAATACCCCTTCAAATTTTTATATTAATGAACTGCTTCCATCTTCCCTCAAGAGATGGTTTAAAATGCAACAGATACAGTACTATTTCACCAAGGATCATTCCACTATCTATGTTTCATCCAGAGAGTCCAAGTGATGGCTTTGTAAATTTGAATCAAAAAGTACTGTAGCAGACCTTCTTTACTACCAAAATAAATGAAATCAGAAGTCAAATTACACCAAAAGATTTGATGGAATCTCAGTAATTGCTTTTTAGTAATTTTCTCCCAGATGAATACACTGCTTGGTAGATGTTTCAGTTACTCAGTAACGGTGATTCTGGATCATATAGTAACAAAGATCATTACAAAAAAAAAAAAAAAAAGCTGATGGTAAAAGTATTTGTCTAAAACCATTCCAAAAAAGGGAGCTGAAGTAGAAAGCAAATACAGAAGTTTGCAGAGGATGGAAATAGGCACTTGAATGTGAATAAAATTATAAATCCTGATAAGGAAAGACCAGAAGACAAGACTAGAAGCTTGTAAACTAGTGATGGCAAACTCTCATGTCTTGAGAATATATTTGATTTATAAGGGACCAGACTACAAAAAGGACCCATCTAGATAACCAACAACAATGAGAAAAAAACCCTTATTGTTTCATCAAAGGGAAACTGGCATAATCAATGTCCTGAGCTGTCAGGAACATGCTTCAGGGAAAGCTGAGTCATTCTTGCAGCCCCATG